AATCAAAATAAAATAAAAAGTTTTTTAAGGCAGTCTTAAAAGGGTTGGGGATGCATCTCAGTGTGATGGCCTTGTGTTCAATCCACAGTACCACAAAACAAAATCAAAAATATTAAAAAAGAAAAAGATGAGAGGTGGGGTAGAGGGAGAGAGATTTAGCTCCTGGGTTCTGGAAGCTGCAGGTCAAGATCATGTGACCACATCTGTTCAGATTCTATTTCTCGTGATACCCCATGAATGGTTGTGCACACAAACAGAAGTAAGAAGCATGAGGAACTTGCTCCCAAGGTCACTTACCAGTCTCTCCAGAGCAAGCTCACGCATTCTTGGGAGATGACATTCATATATCCACAAGGACTCCACTCCTATGACCAAACACCTCCCACTACCTACTCTGCCAATATTGCCACATTGAGATATGAAGCTTCAACATCAATTTTGGTGGGCACAAACCTACTCTTTTTTAGCAGTCAGTTATAAAAAATACTACCAGGTCTGCTTATGTAAGAGTTTTGGATATAGGAAAAACCTTAGGCTGATAGCTTCTTTCTCATTTTTCTTTTTAAAAACATATTCAGAAAAGTTCTCAGAAAGTTCAAATTAGGATCACTGTATGAACTTTACTGTGAAATACTGAAAAAGAATTGCAAACCGTTATTCAAACAGATGTACATATATCAGTGTTCATAACAGCATTTTTCATGGTAACCAAAAGTGATAACAACCAAAATATCCATCACTGGATGGATGGATAAGTAAAATATTGCATACCATATGGTCAAATATTGTATAATCATAATTAAAAAGGTGGCAATGTATGTTACTTCATGGATAAATCTCACAAACATCATGCTAAGTGAAAAAAGTCAGACCCAAGAGGCCACATAATGTTTGATTTGATTTACATAAAATATCTAGAATAGACAAATTCATAGAGACAGTATATTAGTGGTCTCTAGGGACTGAAGAGAGAGAGAAATAGGGACTGACTGCTTAATGCTTTGGGAGTAACGAAAATATTTGGGGACTATAAAGTGGAATAGTTACACAACATGTGAATGTATTGTCATTAAATAGATAGATAGATAGATAGATAGATAGATAGATAGATATGGCAATCAAACTCGGGACCTCATGCTTGCCAGGCAGGGACTGTGCTGCTGAACTATATTCCGGGTCTTCATTGTATATTTTTAAATGGTTAATTTTCTGTTATGTGAACTGCACCTGCATAAAAAAATAAGGCAAAAACAAAACAAGTGAGTAGTTTCAGTGTAGAAAATGAAACTATTTCCAATACTGAGACTAAAGAAAATACTTTTTCAGGAATTTTTGGGAGTATCTTGATTTGAATACAATGTTGGTTTCATATCATTCTATACAAGGTCCTTCAATGATGCTAAAGGGTAACATAGTGAAAATTATTTTAGTGGGAACTGGGATTATGAAGCAAAAGGAGTAGGGAGTTAGCTATATTCATATTTGAGGAGCAGGCTTGAGGGCGAGATAAGTTAAAAACATCCAGAGGAGGAGATAGTCTGTCTACCTTTCTGGCATCTGTCATAACTATTTCCCTTATTCACATTTTTGAAGGCTATGGAGCTAAAATGAGCTTGAGATGATACTCCATGTTAAGAATCTAGGTACAGAATAACCTGTATTTTAAAATTTAGCCCGTCTGGATGTAGGAGTAGGATCCACTGGCAAATGAAGAAAATATTAGACGTGAGAAGTAACAAGTAACAGGATGGAGACACTGACCATCCTCCTGAGATCATAGCTGGTCTGTTCAAATACTGAAACTAAAGAGAATTATAATCTCACACAGTTCTCTGCAGTAGATCAACCTCTGTATTCTCAGAGAGGAAAAGTTCTTTTCTTTCCTTTTTTCTTTTTTCTAGACCAAATGAGATTGTATGTGCTATGGCTTGTGTCTAGATGTCCCCCACAAAGCCTCATGCAGTCATAGGTAGGTTTCTTAAGAGGTGGCCAGGTCTAGAGTGTGTGATGTTGGAATTGGTTTATGGTGCAACACTAGGCTCAAGGGCACTAGGGTTAAAGGTATAAGTGCTACCCACCCTAAGTAGCCTGGAAAACATAGGGATAGGGCTGTGGCTGTCCCTTGCTTGTTTTGCTATCTTCTGCCTGCCATGAACTATTTTTCCTCTTCAGTTCCTCTGTGCAACAACACCTGCTTACAGCCCAGTCAATTATGCTCCGAAACCTCTCCAAACTGTGAGTTAAATAAACCTTTCTTCCTATGACTTTGGGTGTCAGATATTTTGTCACAGCAAGATAATGTGTATAAAAGGTCTTATAAAGTGTAAAGTTGTATATTAGTGTATTGTCCTTGCTATTTATAACTGGCAATCATGCCTAACACGTAAACAACATGCTTGTATGGCATTTTCATACACTGTATTCCTTCACCATCCTCAAAGATTTGTTGAATACTGATCATTTGCCAAGTCGTGTAGGCAGTACTGTCAACACTCTAAAAAAGCATAAATTAAGGTTCTAAGATCCTAAGATTTGTCCTACCACACATAACTTGGACACTATGAAATTTCGGTTCCTACTTTCCAAATCTTGGTGCCCCCAAAAGCTAGAATAACCAAGAACTATGTTTATCAAAGCCTCTGATCTTTGCTCAGTCCTAAGTGTGATTATGAATACTTTGAACAAAGTTTAATCATTTCTATTTCTGTGGGTGCAGTGGTATTTTAACTATGGTTACATGGAGTTCTCAGAGCCATGCTGCTAATTCATACACACAATGCTTTACATTATTCACTAACATTTATCAAGTGTTTACTGTGTGTCTATCTCATTTAATCCTTAAAATAGCAGAGAATGGTTTGTCATTCCTCATTTTTTTGTATAAAGAAAATAAAACTCAAAAAGAGTAAATCATTTACCCAAAGTCACAGAAAAATATAAATGATCCAACAGTCCTTATAGGAGAACATTAAAAGGTTCATGAAAATCAGGGACAGAACAATAGACATCTGTGTTGCCTATTGATCAATAGAGTACGAAATAAATGTTGAGCTAAGAATAAAAGGAAGAGACAAGGGTAGATTCATACTGTTTTGTTTAATGCCAAAATTCAAAACCTAACCACCATCATAGCCATTATAATTTAGCAGTAATGAACTCAAGAACATTTGTAAACATTAAAGTCTCAATGACAAAGGACCAGTAAGTGACCTCATACATAATAGTTTGCGTTTTTTTGTTTTGCTTTTGAGGGAATGGCAAGACGTAAAACAGAAAGGCCATCTGAGCCCCGCGCGGCTCCCGCAGCTGGGAATTTCTGCAGTCTCGCGTGGGCCTGTAGCTGTGTTCTGCTCTCCTGGCCGTGTGTCCCGCTGCTCTCCACCCTGTCCTTCCAGGAGCCTCCTACTAAACCACACCTCTTCCTCCAAGTTTCCTGCCACTGGACAGTAATTCTTAAAAGGAAATTTGCGTGAAAGTTCATGGCATCAGTTTTGTTGTTACCTTCGCTAGATGTAAAGTAACTGAGTTTACTGGGCCAGGCATGGTGGCGCACACTCTGTAATCTACCAATCTAGAAAGCTGAGACAGAATGGTTGTAAATTCAAGTCCGTACTGGACAGTCTAGCTGCTGAGTGAGGACCTGTCTCAAAAATAAAATAGGGCTGGGAGTCCAGTTCAGTACAAAGGCCCTGGGTTCAATATCCAGGACCAGAAAAAGAGTTGAGGTTACTAAGCATTTTCTGATGCTGTGTTCAGTATGTTAAAAAGCTAGTATCTGTTCTGTTGATCTCCCCACCCCCCCGTGCAGATGGGTATAATGTATTAGGCTAGAGTAACTGATAAAACATGTAAAAGAGATACTGTTTTGCATGCTGCTGTGTAGCTGCTAGGGCATAGATTCACAAAATTGTGAATCAGTTGTGCTTACATGGTAAGTCATTTTCATGAAATTGGGCAAATTTCTCCTCTGGAATACATTTCCAATACTCTAAATGAGAGGGCAGGATTCCCAAATCTTAACTGTCTTTGGTTTTTGCCTTTGTATGAAGGTTTAAACTGTATCATCAGGCACTATTCCTATGTCACAATGTTCATCTCATAGCTTTTCAGTTCTTTAACTCATTCAACAATTTTGCGTTTTTACTAGCTCCTTTAAGAATAGAAACAAGATTCTCTGTGCATGGAGCTTACAGTTTAAAGGGATAACCATAAATATTTTTAAAGCCAATGAAAGTTTTAATTAATAATTAAACTATTGGAAAGGTGCTAAGACGGAAACAGGATGATGTGTACCTCTTTCTTCAGCGTCATAAAATGAAACACGATAAGCTCTTTCATTTCCCTAAATGATCTAGTGAGGTCATCAGATTTTTGAAAGGAAAAACATGTTAATAAGTTACTTTCAACTAATAAACAAATAGCTGCTAATATTGAAAGTTGTATAATGTCTCCCCTATGTGTCTTGGAAGGGGCTGCGGGAAGATGAGTTGTTGCTTTTCAAAAAGCGCAGTGAGACGTCTTTTCTATTTTATTTTTTTACTTTTATTTATGTATTTATTTTTTATCAAGAGGACAAACCAAAAAGGATCTCGAGTCGAACACGAAAAGTGCCAATCCGGTCTGGCTTTCAGTATTTCTTTTCGTCTCACAGCTCTCTTACAGCGAGACTCTGAGTGAAATCAAAACTAATGCCATGAACTTTCACGCAAATTCCCTTTCAAGAATTACCATCCACTGGTGGCAGGAGCCTTAGAGGAAGAGGTCAAGGTGTGGTTTAGTAGGAGGCTCCTGGAAGGACGGGGTGTAGGGCAGCGGGACACACGGCCCGGAGGGCAGGACGCAGCTGCAGCCCCACGTGAGTCTGCAGAAACCCCGGGCCGCGGGAGCCGCACGCCGCTCAGGTGGCCTTTCCCGCTCAGGTGAGCGCCTCCCGCGCCTCCTATTGGCCGAGGCGCTCGCGGTGCCGGGAGGGCGACGCAGCCGGGTCTAGTTCAGGGTCTAGGGCGGCGCGTCACTTCCGGTAGCGCGGAGCTTGTAAAACACCCTGGAGAGAAAATGGCGACGGCAGCGGCTTCGTCGCCTCAGCAGCTCTCGGATGAGGAGCTATTCTCTCAGCTCCGCCGTTACGGCCTGTCCCCGGGCCCCGTGACGGAGAGTACCCGCCCGGTCTACCTCAAGAAGCTTAAGAAGCTTCGGGAGGAAGAGCAGCAGCAGCACCGGTCTGGGGGCCGCGGCAGCAAGACGCGGAACAGTAATAACAATAACACGGCAGCCGCCACGGTCGCGGCCGCTGGACCTGCGGCGGGGATGGGGGTCCGGCCGGTCTCGGGCGACCTTTCCTACTTGCGGACCCCTGGGGGCCTGAGCCGAATGGCGGCCTCGGGTCCGGAGAGCCCCCCGGGAGGGCCCGGGGCCGCCGCAGCCGCCCCCGCGGCTGGCAGCAAAGTGTTGCTGGGCTTCAGCTCGGATGAGTCGGACGTGGAGGCCAGTCCCCGGGACCAGGCTGGCGGCGGCGGCAGGAAGGACCGGGCTGCGCTCCAGTACCGCGGGCTCAAAGCGCCGCCGGCGCCCCTGGCCGCCAGCGAGGTGACTAACAGCCACTCGGCGGAGCGGAGGAAGCCCCATTCCTGGTGGGGGGCCAGGAGGTCGGAAGGCGCGGAGCTGCAGATCCCGTCGGGGAAAGACGGGGCGGCGGAGGATGAGGAGGAAGAGGCGGACCACGGGGAAAACGGGAACCCCGACGCCGAGGAGCCGCTGTGGGCGAGCCGAGTCGTGAACGGCAGCCGGCTTCTCTCCTATAGCTGCCGGGAAAACTATTCGGACTCGGAGGAAGAGGACGACGACGACGTGGCCTCCACCAGACAGGTATTAAAGGACGACTCTCTCCCCCGGCATCGGCCCAGACGCAGCCATAGTAAGCCCGTCTCTCCGTTGACTGCTAAATCTGCCGGCAGCCGGCTGGAGACCTCAGTTCAGGGAGGAGGAGGAGGACACGGGATGAATGACAGGGCGGCGGCTGCCGGGAGTCTAGACAGGAGCCGAAATCTCGAAGAGGCGGCGGCGGCGGCGGAGCAGGGAGGTGGGTGCGATCAAGTGGACTCCAGCCCCATTCCTCGATACCGTGTTAGCTCTAAGAAACTGGCTCCTCTCCTACCCTCGCCACTTCCTGACTTGGACTCAACCTTGGATTCGTCTACAGGCTCCCTTCTTAAAACTAATAATCACATCGGCGGTGGGTCCTTCAGCGTGGATCCTCCCAGGATTTATTCCAACAGTCTCCCTCCCAGTGCTGGAGCCACCCCTAGTTCACTCAGGCTCAATCACGCCAACCACATGGGTTCTAATCATACCTACCTGAAAAACACATACAACCAACAGAAGCTTTCCGAACCAGAGGAGGAACTTCTCCAGCAGTTTAAACGGGAGGAGGTTTCCCTACCAGGGAGTTTCAGTGCTCACTACTTGTCGATGTTTCTCCTAACTGCTGCCTGCTTATTTTTCCTAATACTGGGACTGACTTACCTAGGAATGAGAGGGACAGGAATATCCGACGATGGAGGAGTCAGTAAGTATTAACCCCTATGGGTAAGGTCACATTGCTAGTGATCTGCTTTAGTTGCACGTAGTATTTACATGAGGTGACTTTTACCTGCAAGAACATGATTTTCACATATAAATGAACAGAATACATGTGTCATCTTTAAGAAAGAACATTATTACTATTGGAATGGTAGTTTATGGTTGGTTTTAAAGTTTTCTTTCATGGTGTGAAATTGAAAACAATTTAGAACAAATATTACCAAAATGCACTTGCATGTGACTTAGTCTTTTATATGTGACTAAGTCTTTTAGCCTTAAGTGTTTGTGCATTTGCAGTTACTGAGGGTCCAAAAGTAATACCATTATTCAGATATGTCACAAAAATATTTTTTCAAATTGAGTTGTGATTCTGGAAGACAGTATAATACTTCTTGAAATCCAAATTTTTTATAGAATGAGTATATGTGTAGGTGGTTTTGTAATTTCTTGAAAATGAATATTTTAAAATCAGTAAGGAATACCTCTTTATTATTTCCGGCCCAAACCACCTCCCACCCATCTATGAAAAAATACTGTTAAGTCAGTGCAGGAACTTGGATTAAAGTTTATTTGGTTTGGTTTCTAGGCCTTTCAATTTACTGATTGAATGACTGTAGGCATGTCTTTTCATTCATTCATTAAGCCAGCGTCCTATATATACAACCAGGCTACAGTAATGAGTCAAATTATTCCTCTCCTTGGATACATAAATAAAAATACAGAATGTGAATGGTGTAATTAGTGTGTACTACTTTAGATTGGATGATCAGAGGAAGTGTACTATTTGAGGTAAGACTTGAAACAGGAGAGGATGACCTTGTAGAGAGACTGGAGCATTCCTGGCAGACATTACAAGAAGAGGAAAGGCCTTGGATTGAGTAAGAGCCTTGTTGTAGGGTCGAATGCTTAGACCTTCTTATTCCCAGTCTATACAATGATGGTAACACTGACCAGGATGGTGCTTGTGAAGATTAAAAGAAAGTAGGTTAGTGTATAATGAATTGACGAATACATACTTTGCATGTATTTATTTGAAATGTATTTCTTTGCAATAAGAAGTACTATTTCTTCATACAAGAAATGGTTTGGCTTATTTTATTTCAAAATAGATTGAAAATTCTAGTTAGCTGACACAAAACAAGCTTTGATTTAGATACAACCAATTCCAAGATACACAGTAGATTATTACAATATTGCTTGATTTACAGGGGTTGAAGTAGAAATGAAAATTAGGCTCTTAACTTTAATTGCTTCATTGGGAGCAAGAATGAGGTACAGTCTTGTGTCTTGCCCCAAATATTTGGGTGGAAAAATTCAAGGGCTCACTGGACATTAAACAAGTAAAGTTCACATGAGTGTCATTACCTATGACCAGTACCTACCAGCATCAGTTATCTATGTGATCTGCTCATTTTCTAAAAGCTAAGTGCTTTTCACATATTATCTCATTTGATCTTCCTAGCAACTCTCAGAGAGTGGTGATGGTATCCTTATTTCATGGATGAGGATAAGACTAAGTTACTAAGTGTACCACAGTTGTACAGTTAGTAAGTAGGAGGACTAAGATTTAGTTTCAAATTTTCTCCCACTATAAAGCTTGTGTCTTAATACTATTTTGTGTATAATTTGTATAGAGCTTTCTAGATTGAGAGGGTACCTCTGTTTTACTATGATTAAGAAAATAACATTTGGTAGGTGTTTATACAGATTTACTGATGAGTACAATTCTCAATTCACATCTTTTTCATCGCTGTAAGTTCAATGATTAGTGTTATATATAAAATTTCAAGTAGAATACAATAGGAATGCTGGTATTCACCTTCATGCAGGTGACAGGGAAGAGATCATAAAACATTCTACATTTTAGCAAATGGTAAATGTGAAATAGGCTGAATAATGGAAAAAAATAATGGCTAAACAATTGAAGTGTAGGTGCTAGGATTTGCTTGATGATTTTAGTCAAACTCTTAACATCTGAGCTTCATTCTTAACCTGCTAAATGGTAGTAACAATATCTGCTGTCTATGGAATTGTTAGAAGGATAATATGAGATAATTTGGTTAAAAAAAGAAAGCTTAAGGTGCTTTTATTTAGAAACTCAGGTGACATTTGGTTTATTTCTAGTAACTTTCTGTGATGAAATGTTTTAAGACATTTTCTGTGGTTAATATTTGTAGTGCATTGCTTACTTATCTAACAGTTATTTTTTATTCCATTAAATATATATTGTAGAAATGCAGACAGAAACTTTGAATCAAAGTGTAATGAATCCTTGTATGTTGTCTACCCCAGTGAAGAGAAGTATCTACTAGTTCAGTTAGTCTGGTCACCTGATAGTGCTAGGGTTTTAAGAGTGACAAATTTTACTGATTATATTTACGTATTCTGAATCCTTTGTCATATTATGATGCTAAACTACAAAATAGAAAGAATAGATTGGCTGTGTTAGACTCCTGGTCATTATTTTATAAAAGGCATGACTTGTATAGAAAATGTAAATAGAAATGAGTGAGTGTATCATTATTGGTCAAATAGTGTGCATAAGGAAGTAGTTTTACTTAGAGTAATAATTTCACTAGAAAATTGCAGGTTATATGTGACAGTCAGCTTTTATTAGTTATTATTTGAATTATGTACAATATAAATTAGTCTGTTAATTTCTCAATTGTTTAACCTTTGGGTTTTATATCAACTTCCTATTTTTTAAAAATTATTTGTGTTAAATTACTATTTCTAAATTTAAAAAATTAGAAGTTGGATTATATGATTTTTAAGCATTTTTCCACTTGAAGGTTTAAAACTCCAATTTAGAACAGTCAAATCAACTTGAAGATCAGCCTGCAGTCAACTTATTTATCCCATAGATGATTAAGTTATGACGGTTCCTCTCCTCCTCTAAAAATTGACTTAGTTTCATGGTCATTATTTTATAAAAAGTATGACTTGTACAGAAGACATGAATAGAAATGAGTTGGTATTATATATTTTCCTAGTCTTATTCCCACACCTGATATTAATAAATTGAAATATTAGATCTTTTCAGAGCATCCTTAGTATTTTTCATGTAAATATGTGTGCATGTAGATTTCTGTTCAGCTATAGAATACCTACTATGTGCCAGACTTAACAGAAATAATATGAATAATACTTGGATATGTGGAAGATGAAATTTTTCTTTTGGAAGAAAAATTTCTTTCCTAGGAGGGAAGATGGATAAGTAAGTAAGAATTTAGCATACTACTAGTTAACACGGAAGATGCTAGTAACTTTGGAGGGCTAAGTTAAAATAACGCAGTGTCACATACAAGTTGGCAGCCTTCTCTGAGGTGAAATTTGAACTGAAATCTGCATGACTTGAAGGATTTAGCCACTGACAGGAAGAACGTTCTGGCAGAAGTAACAGCAAGTGCAAGACTCCTGAAGCAAGAACAAGCTTGTATGTTGAAGGGATCAAAGGGTTGTCAGGGTTGTTGGATTATAGTGAATGAAGAAGAAAATGAAGAATGGCAAATGATGAAGTCCTAGATTAGGCATGGGCGAAATCATAATGGACTTAAAGGCCTTAAAGGCGAGTCTAAATTTGAAGTGACATCATGATATATGTATTATGCAACTTGATTTTTTAAACTTAAAATTGTATATTAAGTAACTTTTCCATGTTAATGTTAAGTACAAAGGTATCATTTGAAACTATTTTCCACTTGTCACTTTCTCATCTTGTCAAAATGGTACACTGTAAGTCTTCAACTGTATTCTTTAGGTGCTACTGTTTTCTAAGGCAAGCCATTCATTTTATTTTTTCCTCTCCTATTCAGTCCTGACTAGTTTGATTATTTTTACCCATAATTCCTCTGTAACCTGTTTCAAGACACCTGTTACTCAGTTTCTACTCTATGCCTTTGGTACGTTCAGGGCTTTGACAACTACTTGCTTTATTAAACATTTCTCACCAAACTTCTATGTTCTTACTACATTCTTCTAATTGTCATATTCCTCCCTGCCTATGTTTTAAGTATTTTTAGTCTCTGGAACTTTATTTTTACTAATCTTTTGTACACATTCCCTTGGCAGTTTAATTTGCTCTTCTGTGTAATATCTTTCAATTTTGTATTTTCACCTTAGATTTCTCTTCTGAGTTCTAGACTTGTTTGTCTTGTTAAATATCTTTTGGCTGCACCAGAAGTATCAGTGCCATCTGATGCTTTTCTTCCACTTTGTTTTTTGCCCTTCTGTGCCTTGTTGTAATTATGTTCTATCCTCCCAGAGCCCAAAAGCTTTGCATTTGCTTGGATTCCTTTCTTCCTTTCAGTCACCATCTTCCTTCAGCCACATCTTGTAGCTCTGTTTCCTGTGTATCTTTTTTTTTTTTTTAACACCAAGTACGTTTATTAGAAAAGAAGAAAGTTATGAAATTTCTTTGAGAAATTAAAAATAAAAGACAAAACCAAAAACAAATAGAAAATAATAAAGGTCAAAAAACACAATCCTTTATCAAAATGCCAACATCATTTTTCTTTTTTTTCATAAAGATTAACATTTTGATTCTTACATTTCTGTAAAAATAGAAAAGACTCAGAATAACCTAATCAACTTTGATAAGGAACAAAATTAGAGCTCCAACCCTCCCCAATCCCACGAATTATCACAAAGTTACACCAATTATGATAAAACATCATTGATATCAAGATAGACAAACCACCAAAGTGTCAATATAAAGTCCCAAAATAGATACCGATGTAACAGACAATTGATTTCTGGCAAAGATGCAAAAGCAATTAAGTGGAGAAAGGATTGTACTCCTCAATAAATAAATGTCTTGAGTCAGTCCTTTCTTTGTATCACCGCTGTTTTTAGTTAAGTTTGTCATCTGAACTCTTTAGCCTAGTAATTGTTGTTGCTTCTAGATTATAACTCTTCCAGTTCATTTTTTAGTGCCAGAGGAGTATTTCTAAAGCACATATATAATCATTTTCTCTTATTTACTCA